TACGTTACATAAATGAATCAACAATTCAGCTTCTTTACCACATAAAGGACACTATGAGTTATGTGAGATACTTGATTTTGTATATAGCACTATACTAACTTCTTAAGGACACATCAAGGATGATATATTTGAAATAAAGCTTTTAAAAACTAAATATGCCACATAACGGGCATGCCTGTATGGACAGAAACTAAATATCATCAACCACGTGGTAGATCCGAATCACAAGCTCAAATTCACAGCCACTAATAACCAACATTGGATAATAACTACCAAATAAAGCCAATAATATTTACCAAGTTACGCTTATCAGGAAAGTATTCGGTTTCAGTCTCGATCTTGGTAGTCCTAGCTCGTTTAGCTCGAGGCTTGATAGGTTTTTTGATCGGCTTGCCCTCAGACTTGGTCAACTCTTCCTTGTGATTGTCCTGAGCAGCAGGTTGACTTTGCTCCTCCGCCGCCTGACTTTGCTGCGTCTCGTTCCCATTTGCCTCCGCGGAAATGCTCTCCGTGACCTTCTCCTTCGCCTCATCGGGAGCTTTTCCCTTCTGGCTCGCCTTTCTTTTAGCTCCTTTCCTCATTTCGATATATATAGAGAGAAAAAGCGTTTGTCTGTGAGTACAGATTTAGAGAGAGATGCACGAATATGGCGGTTGGATGGATGGATGCTGCAAATTTGAATAGAAAGGGCTGAAATAGGATGGCGGAAACCAGGAAGGGGGAGAACCTAGCGAGGCGGCCGACATGATAGCGTTATTTCTAAGCGCGTGTGGAGTACTCGAAATTTTGGTGAGATGTTTCACACGAGGGAATTTTTGAAATTGAAAAATGGAGCAAGTTCGGGCCGGGCTGCCTATGGACCCCGATGCATTTGTCTTCACTAGTCACTCCTCAGTCCTCACTACATGTTTTCTTTTGAACTGAAATTTGCTGATCTAGTCTGGTCTGGTAAATGTCTAGTCTCTGTGTATTTTATAACTACAGAAGTCTGGTCTGGTCTGGTTTGGTCTGATTTGGTCTGGTCTGGTCTGATCTGTGACTGAAAACAGTCCAAAAGAAAAGTGTCGTTTTCCTCCAACGACATGTTAGTTTTGAAATGGTAAAAACATGTTTGGGAAAGTTCATGAAATAAAAATAAAAACATTTATAGAAATAACTACTATCAAGTGCCAATCATTGTTTTCTTTCAACTTCAAACGAGGAGGCATATGATGAAAAGTGAGAAGGTGGACCATGAACAGGACGACGGTGAGCAGCAATTTAAGGACGCACGATGGGCAGCGACGGTCGGGGAGCGACAGGTTTGGTGAATGTTAGAGTTCAACCGGAGATGGAATATCAATCACGACGGTACTGATGATCTGATCTCCTCCTCGACCACCACCATGAGTTGAGAAATTTATCCTATTAGTTATTGTTATTTGTTGTTTGGATTCTTATTAAAGTCTGTGTTGCTAGGGTTGTCAAGATGATTGTAAATTTAGCTTATTTTAATGTAGTTAGAAGTATACGAATCTATAAGACCAATGATAGTTGTGTCAAGCCCGTTTCGTGGTTACCGATTCGTGTTGGTCTTTCAGGGGTGACTGTTTCAATCTGTAATCGTAGGATTTACATTCGTAGTTGATGGAGGTTAGTTGGTGTCATGTATGATTTTTCTTTCATTGATTTAACGATCATGAAACTAATGATATAAATATAGGTGATTTCCTTTAAAACAAAATTACTATCAAGATTTGAGAATTTTGTGATTTTTGTACTAGTTATGTACTTGTTGAGGTTTAATCCTCTCAATCCAAAGGTTGAACAATCTCTTTTGGGCTTTCGTAGAATTTTGATGGGATGGATATATTTTAGTAGATTCATTAACTGTTTTGTGGCAAGAAGAGTAGAAAAGGTAAGGGGATCAAGTTCTATTAAAGACTTAGAACAATTACAGCACACATTACCGAGGTGAGTGTCGTACCCTATTCTAAGCTGAGAGTATATAAGTAGAGAGAAATGTTAAAAGTTAATAAATACAAGTTGTCAACCCTATATAATGAAATAAATACTTCTATTTATACTACCATGCATGAAGTAGGCGGCGGTGGTGACATGACGAACCCTAAGTGGCTAGCCCCCAAGCATGAATTTTTTTATATCCACGCTTCCCGTCAAAATCACTGATTTCTCGCCAATTATTCTAAGAGAGCCTATTGAGAGTCTCTTGACTATGGCCTAGACGATTTATTCAAGGATCTCGTGTAGTACAGCACACGCCGCGCGGGTGGAGCCACACAGCCCTGGGGCCTAAGGGGTATTGGGTCTCTCCAGTGCTAGGCCAATTATCCCAATACAAAACTCTCACTTCTGATGTAGAAGAGAAAATAGGCCTGAGCCGCGTGACCCCGACACTACAAGGTAACATTTGACATGGCGGTTCTCAAGGTTTTGAAGTCAAGATTATGGCAAACGTTTCAACTCTTAAGGATTTCGTGATAATTACCTAAAAAGTGAGTGAACAAAAAAGAAAAAGTGATGATTTGACAAAAAAGTAACTGATTTGATAAAATAATTTGTAAGTCGAAAATACGACCAACAAAGAGGCTCTTAATCACTTGGTGGATGTTTGGTAGCTACTCCCTCCGTCCCAATATAAAGAGCACATTTGCTTTTTCAAACATTTTTAGGAGAAACATTGTTTGACACTATTTGGACACTGTTTGGCACTGTTTTGTTTGCTAAAAAGGGAAATGTGCCTTTTATATTGGGACGGTCCAAAAAGGAATATGTGCCTTTTATATTGGGACGGAGGGAGTATGATTTATGATTTTCAGACTTATAAGTCAACTTTTTCACCAAACATGTAATTTTTGGTTTTACGGGCTGAATTATGTAATAATAAGAAAAAGTAAGGTTGACGTTATTTTTCTGACTGTATTGGCTAAAGTTATTGTAGAGTCATTTTAGCTATTTTTCATATAATTTTTTCTTTATTTTATTAATAAAATGTATTTTAAATTATTATTTTTCACAAATCAACATAATCATCAATCATGCAATACATGCACATCAGCCAAAACTTTATGAATTCCAGCAGAGTCAACCATAATTTTATTAATTTAAGCAGAACCAGCCAATACAGGCGGTTTGGCTATTGGGCTCTTAATGTTGAATAAATCAAATTAAGGGTGTTTACGATGGTTTCTAGTTTTCTTCTATTGATAAGTTATGTGTTTTAGGAATTATGTGAAAATTGATTATTACCAAAAACTGAGGATCTGTTTACTAACAGAGATATTTTCCAGTTTTCCAGAAAAATAGAAAAACAGGAAACATGTTTACCAAAGAAAATTGCTGGAAAACTGGAGAAAGGAAAACAGAAAAAATCGTCTACCAAATCGTTTTCCAAAACGAAAAAAATGAGACATGTCTCTGTTTTCCTTAATGATTTGGAGAAGTGATTTTTACTAGTTTTCCAAATTTGAAAAACGCATATGCTACAGTGCCGCTGCAATGAATTTGCATACTTACACATAGAGGTGGATCCGGTCCCGCTCCGATGTTGATTCCATTCCGGTACCTCCATCCTTGTACCTTACCCCTTACCCTTACCCATACCCTACCCTACCAACCCCCACCCCGCGTACCCTTTTTCCCTTCAATGACCCTACCCCACCCCCTACCACATGCCCCTACCTCGGCCCCACCCCGATCCACCCTACCCTAACCGCCACCCCCCTACCACCTCGACCCCACCGCGACCCACCCTACCCTACCCCCACCCTCGTATACTACCCCTTACCCCTACCTTACCCCTTACCACATGCCCCTACCTCGGCCCCACCCCATCGCCATCCTACACCCACCCTACCCTTCCCCTACCCTCGACCCCACCCTGATCTCGACCCCACCCTGATCTCGACCCCACTCTACCGCCATCCTACCCCAACTCCCTACCCTACCCTACCCCTACCTTACCCCACCCTACCCACTACCATTACCCCTAACCATAACCCTAACCCACCCACTACCCCCCATCCAACTCCCTACCCCTAGACCTTACCACCCCACCCCAACCATACCCCACCCCCGCTTATACCTTCCTTACCCCGACCCCTACGAGTAGTTATGGGTGGGTATGAAGGGTTGTTGGGGAGCATGGGTAGAGTGTAAGATCGTGGTAAGGGTAGGGCTAGGGGTTAAGGGTGTGGAATTGGGTGTAGGGTGGGGGTACGAGGTACAGAGGCAGGTTAGGGGTATGGGTACACGTACGAGGTGATCGACCCCACATATTATATTATATATTTGTGTTTCATGAATGTTTGTGTGTCTATATGTGTATATGGTTATTTTGGACATTTTAATGTTAAACAGTGTTTTAAACCTTTTGAAGTAAACATGATCTTACAACATTGTTTATTTTATGCACCGTTTATTAACACGGGTCTTGATAAGCACCATTTAGTAACCCGTGAAGTAAACGTGTCCTCAATCTTTTGGATGATCACAGAACTAGGTGAAAAAATTGATGAACGTGTTTTCAGGTTTGAAAATGGAAAACTAAAAAATAGAAACAAAAAATTGGAGATAGAGAAACTGAAAAATAAAAACAAAAAATTGGAGAACGAAAAACGGAAGTAGAAAACAGGAAAATATCTCTGTTAGTAAACAGGCCCTGAGTTTTTAAAAAGAAAAAGTAATTTTGAAAAGGTAAACGATGAAGAAATACTTATTTGTGTAATAGAAAAAATGAAAGCAATTAAAAGCACATTCCCCATTGCTTTTAAACTTTGGCTTTAAAGGACTTGACTAGAAATACCAATTTGAATACATAATTTTTAAATTTTTGAAGCAAGAGCTCAAAAGTGCTTTTTTAAAAGCAATAACAAACATCAGTGTGTGGATTATGTTGCTATACCTGATTGTATTGTAGCCTTCTGGCGAATGGTTTATTAATACGTAGTATAGCTTTATCGGTTGGATGAAAAAAAAAAACAATAGCAAACACTCTAAACCGAGGAATAAACAAATGACTTCACAATTCATACCTATTACTCCGTATTAGATTTTAATGCACAACTTGTTTAAGATGGGTCCGAGTTCCCTAACCCAAAAACATTATGAGAGGCAGAAGTGGCGCATTTGCAATTATGTTTATGAAACATCTCATACTTCCAAATTATTATCACAGAAACCACCAATACATGCTGCAATGGTTATCTAAGCTCCAACTTTACGACAAAAACAAAAGCTCCAACTTGTGTCATTCTCTCTTACTACTTCACTGCATCCAAAGCTGTGAAGATGAAACCAAGCATAGTAGCATTTTTTAAAGATCGGGCATGCCTCTCCCAGTTTTCGGGTTATATGTCCTTTCCATGACATCTTCCAATGGAGTGTCCTTGGGACCAGCTACGAAAAAGATACAGATAAAGCCACAATACTGCATTAGAATCATTAAGTTCCACTGAAAATTCAAATACTCCGTATGACATCTTTATATACCAACAGTGGAGTTTTTTCCACTTTTAGTCATCCGACTATTATGTCACTGACACATTTGGTACCCGACTTTGATTTTTTCCATTTTTAGTCCTCAACTATTATACTAGAGACAGTTTTGATACTCGTCTTTGAAAATTTTCATTTATAGTCATTCGACTTTCATAAAAGTGACATTTTTTGTCCTTCAACTATTACAAAAGTGACATTTTTAATCCTTCACTTATTGTGTCAAAATCATAGTGGGAGGATTAAAAGCGTCAATTTGATAATAGTCAAAGGACTAAATGTGGAACACTTTGAAGTCGAGGACTAAAAGTGTCTCTAGCACAATAATTGAGAACTAAAAATGGAAAAATTAAAAGTCAAGTACCAAAAATGTCACTGACACAATAGTCGAGGGACCGAAAATGGAAAAATGTCACCAACAATGCAACATTCATTTAGAAATGACCTTTAATGAGTAGATTATTTAAACACGTTCATGTAAGGACATTCTTTTGATAGGTTAATAAAATAAAGATGCTTCGAAGAGTAGCTTAGTTAAAACATTCTTGCAATGAATTCTCTAGGGGGAAATAAACAAAAACAGAAAGTCAGAGAGTTTGTTCCCTACAAACTCCATAGAAAATGAATTATTAAGTGATTGGTTCATCACTTGAAACGATAAAGCTACTATATCAAGTAAGACATCTCATAGATTGATTCAACAGTAATCACTTTCATAATAATGCCTCCATTAGTATTTTTTTAAGTAATGATAGAAATGCTATGAAGCATCAGTCAGTTCATGCAACTTTCGACGCGATTTTCACCATGGGTCATCCGGAAACAGTCTCTCTGTGCTTTAGTACAGGGGTAAGACTGCGAACATCCGAACCCCCCTTACCCCACCGAAGGTGGGAGCCTTTGCGGCACTGGGGTAATGATGATGATGAATGATAGAAATGCTATCTCTTTTGGGATTAAGGATCAAATGTTGCTGTTAGAAATGCTATGTTACTATTAAAACGTTTTTAATTGATACATTCCATATTTTGGCTGATAATGTGCATACCACATTTTGTGTCAGATGACAATTTTCATGGGTGTTGAGGACATTATGACATGTTAGACCATATTAAAATTTACATCATTAAAATTTACTTTAAAAATCATTTACATCATGAAGTTAGAGATTCAGCAAAACTTGAGAATTCCATTAAGAATATCTCATTTCATTTTCATTTACCCAGTGCCGCAAAGGCTCCCACCTATGGTGGGGTAAGGGGGGTTGGATATACGCAATCTTACCCCTGTACTAAAGCACAGACTGTTTCCGGATGACCCATAGTGACAAACGCGTCCAAAATTGCATGGACTGACAGCTTAGTGAGCCATTTTGCTTTATTCCATCATATTCTCAAGCCAAAAAATAATGAATCTTTGGCTCCATTGCAAATGATGGAAGGAGAATTCCATTCAGAATACTGGTTCTAAATGGTACAGCAGTGCCTTTCAAATCCCACAAGCCACACTATTTTTAATATTAGTTGAGAGAGAGGGAGTTCTGAATTCTGAACTAATAATTATTACGGAAGCCATATCGACCACCAATTTTATCTTCTTCTTTTTTACACTCCTTGCAAAGAAACAACCATTGAACCATTGAAATAGGGGGCATTGACACAGAGTTTAGGCCCTTAAATGGAAAAGGTGACCTTGGAAAATTACAAATAGAGATTAGTAGTGGACTCTAATGGAAAGAGTAGACTACAGTTGTAGCGTGCATTCAATCCTTCACACTTTGAGATAACATCTCCACTGAACAATAACAGCTCACAAAGATATCCCCTCACCCACACGCCCACAACTCAAACATGAGCATAGGCTAAGCTACATTTCAGCAGGGCCAAAGACCAAATATTTTAATATCAAGTCCCAATATAGTTGGGCTCAGTTGGTCGAGAGATGAGAAAACACACTAACTTCCAAGGAACTCAAACGTCCTAGTATTGGGCTCAAAAGCATAGGGGAAACGTGCTGTTAAACTAAGTTTTAACTTGTTCAATTGAATATCCAAACACAATTTCATGCATGTATCAAATCTACCCATAGCCCACCATAAATTTCTGCTACTTTAAGAAACACTGCTAGCTCCTATCTTTCTATTGTAGACAGTTTCTTTCCAACCTCAGCAAGCAAACTCCTGAAGATATAATTTTTATTACCACATATAAGTGATGTGACAGCATCACTTTCAGCCAATGAGCCTCACTACTAGTACACATCAATCTAATGGTGCAGCACTTCATACTAAAGAAAAATTGAAGTGAAGTTGCAATTTCCCAATTCCCTATATGAAGGTAGGTGGAGTATTACTTACCAACTGATGGTCTTGGTGTAGTCCTTATCTTCAAGATCTCAGGACGTGGAATAATAGAGCATGATGCTCCAATACCTCTAGAAACTCTTACTTTAGTACCATCTTCCAAGTACCTGATTCCAACTTTGCATGGTCGCCTGCAAAATCAAACATTAGTTACAATGCTACATAGAGGAAAAGTTGTGGAGATAACAAGCAATTTATACATGCTACATAGAGGAAAAGTTGTGGAGATAACAAGCAATGTATACATACTCTGTCACTGGATCTAGAACCTGCACATTAGAGACATGCAATGGAGCTTCAACTGTAAATATTCCTCCTTCATGGCCTTGTCCTTGTTTAATATGCTTCTTAACCTGCAGAGAAAAAATGGTTCATAAAAATGATAAGAGAGATAATAAATATATAATGAGAACACACAAATGTACACACGTGGCAACACCATAATTCAGCTAAGAAGATGGTCACTAACAATATTAATGATAGTGCAAGTACAGCTGCAAAAATGTACTCCTGTAGTCCCGTCCCAAATTGATAGTCCCAAACTTATGGACACGAAGGTTAAAAATAATAGTGTATTATTAATTAAAATAGGGTTTCCATATTTTGATAGTTTCCTATTGTAATTTGGACACTTGTATATTATATATATGGCATCCAGGGCTACCACATGGGTAAGCCATTCCATTACAATAGGAAACTATCAAAATATGGAAACCCTATTTTAATTAATAATACACTATTAAAAAATAGATATTAAATTTCTGCTATTATCCTTCATTTATCGATTGGTCTAATAATACCAAAAAACTTCTCTCCAAACAACGTGCACTTCAAACTCTGTAGCCATCTTCACCTTGCTGAAAATTCTCTCTCCATTATTCTCAGCAAGGAACTATGTACAGCGCCATTGGGGCATGGACTGCTAATTCTTGATCACCCAAGAAGTAACTGAAAGCCACAATTGGAAATCACAGTCTCCAGAGGACCAACGGGAAGCTTTGGCACAAATCAGAAGTCACAATTTCCCAGGAATTAAATGGAAGTCACAATCTCCCAAGCCAACCGCAAGTCACAATCTCCCAAGCCAACCGGAAGTCACAATCTCCAAGAACCAATCGGAAGTCGCTATCTCTGAAGAAACAATTAAAGAACTCTCCACAAACCTAAAATGTTCAATTGGATAAAGTTTGTGTAACAAGCTCGACAGGATATTATGGGCATCTCTGTATGAATGGTATATGTCTACAAGCGTGATGGAAAATACTGGGCGTCTATAAATGACAATGGAGTGGGAAACATATGCATGAAGATGGCTAGACAATAATGGGAGTGTGGGTGTTGGGGAAATATGGTAAGGATAAATATGTAGGTTTAAATCATAGGAAGGTTAGAATTGGAATTGTGTCAATGATTTTTGCCACAAAATGGGTATATAGTTTTTTTTCTATATGAACCTGCTGCTTCATACGAAATTAAGACCATGAAATATGAACTATGAGGCAGGATGACTTCCAACAAATTTATGCATCATCTTCCTTTCTAGAATAACATCTCTAGCCAATTACCATCTTTAGGCTCTGTTTCACCTACTTCTCAAGGTCTGAAAATCTAACACTCCAAACCTCCAACTAATAGCTTGTGAATAATTTCCTTGAACTGCTCCTTTTACAATTAGTCAATCTCAATGATATCTCTACCTAGAAAGTGTCATCTGGTTTTGTGCAACAGCATTCTTAATCAAAGCGCTTCTACTACTCAAAAGCAGCTTTCACACAGATAGGTTACTGCTACAAAGGCCATATAGATCCTTAAAATTTAAAAAGATGATACGATAGTGCATGTTTAAGGGGGAAAGGCTGCTTAAATAGGCTTAGAATTTCTTTTTTTATATTCAAAGCTCTAGTATTTTTCCATCATTTGCAATGGAGCCAAAGATTCATTATTTTTTGGCTTGAGAATATGATGGAATAAAGCAAAATGGCTCACTAAACTGTCTGCGCTTCTTTGTTATGAAGCGCAGGGGTAAATGAAAATGAAATGAATGAAAATGATTCAAAGCTCTAGTATCATCAAAAAGAAACGTTTCCACACCAGGTTTTTCCCCTCAACAATAACACGATTCTGTGAACGTATTACACGCTTAATGATTCCAGTCGCACCTTTGTCTTTGCCTCTAATAATCATAACCTGAAATATAAATGCAGAAGAAGCAACTAACAAATTGTCAGTGTGTCACTGTTTAGTCATGAATATGCATATGTATACAGCTCTGGCAAACAAGATATGTAGTCAGAGTTTACATACATTGTCACCTCTGAGAATCTTCCAGTGATGTATTAATTTCTGAGCAGCTTTCCAACCCATTATCTGTGAATAACATTTTAAAAATGCTGACCCATATCAGAAAAGCATCATAGAAGCATGGGTAGTAACTAAATATGATAAATGTAACCACTTAAACATTAGGATGTCACCTACCTGACCTACCCACAACCCAACACTAAACTGTGGATCCCCAACACTATAAAGAAAGACAAACAACTAGCTTACTGTGAATACTGGATAGTAAGATCACACTTTAGGACTAAAGTGGTGACTCGGGATACAAATGTCCTATGGACATAGATTTTCATTTCAGAACCCCACTAAAAAACTTTCTGCCAGATGAACCTATACCTTTCCAGCTATATGAGAAATACTTCTCAAATACATATGCCATATGAAAGCTTTTACAAATATTCAACAAACACGGCCAATTCCATTCAATACTCAAATTTTCAATCACATTACTCTAGCACTTCTAAACATATTTAAATTCTAATTTTAAAAAATTCAGAAATAATGACTTGTAACTAAGAACACTTCCAGATTCAAATCTAAACACTGAAAACAGAAGAAAATCTCAACAAATGAAAAAATTGCACTTAATAAGATATAAAATAATGTATACATTGATGTCAAAACAATAATTAAAACTGAAAAGAATTAAATAGCAGAGACCTGATTTTTTTAGCAATGTCAAAACAAAATATTAACAAAATTCAAAAAACAGAAGGGAAGCTTACTGTGTGACAGGTTAATCAGTGAATGGAACTACTGAATCCTGAACGGCAGTAGCAGGGGCGGATCTAGCATTTCAATCCAGTGGGGGGGCAAAAAAATAATTTAGCGTATATATAAGTATATATAATAATTTTAAGTGCAACATCAAAGTAAAATACAATTGTAACTATCGCCATTTTTTACATGAATAAGAGTTTTCATCAAAAATGAAAACTTGATATTAAAAATAACAACATACAAAGGAAATATGAGATTAAATGATTAATGATAGGCCGTAGAATTAATGATTAGAAATCACATTACTACTATTGCAATTAAAACTCAGAAATCACATTAATAATGAATTACTAAAGAGATAAATAATAAACAAAGGAATTAATATATCCAAAAAACAACATCTAAAAATCTAAATCTAAAACAAAATCTAAACGAGCAACTGAAATCATTCGATTACTAAACCACGGTCAAAAAATAAAATAAAATAAAGGTGAAAACGTGAAAGTGTAAAACTAAAACTAAGCCAGATTCAAATACGAAACTAATAGAAATTGCTCAATATATAAAATAGGACCAAGTATGTTTTCTTTCTCAAATAGAACTTATCAAGTCCTATTAAAAAATAAGTTGATTAAAAGTTCCCAAAATATGTGTGAATGAATCCTATTTTAAGAATGAAACAACTATAATCCTATTTATGAATTTTTCCCATGTTTTAATCCTATTTGTGAAATTTTCTCTAAAACTAAACCAGATAAAACTAATGTAGCTATGCAGCAAGCACAAAGTCAGAAAGCAGATGGCCAAACAGTATACACGTAATTCAAGTGAAGGCTTCAGTTGAAATATGAGACTTAAAAGTTAACGAAATTGGAGTGTCCGAATAAAATTTGCTGAATTGATTTTTGAGACCTAGCAAATGGCCAGCTACTGGCGGAGTGCCTGCAGGCTGGGAGAGACGGCGGGCCGCGGGAGGTACGGTCGGCGGAGAACTACGCCGTTGACGGTGATGGACGGGCGGTCGGCTCCTACGGGACTACGGTAGCTATTGGGGACGGGATGAGGGGGAAATGGTCGATGGTGACTTTCAGTTTGGGCGGATTTCATTAAAAAAATTGGGCCGTCGTCGGGCTGAGTGTGATTTGTTTCACCCCTAACAGTGAACCGATGATACCCGCACCTGACCCGGTTAAAACGGGGAAAACCGTATTGACCGGGTAACAGGTATGGGGTGGGGAATACCCGTTTTGTTTTTACGGGTAATGGGGCGGTTATGGTTTTATACATGTCCGCCTCATTACTCGCCTCATTTATTTTTAGTTATATTTTTATTGCATTACATTTTTATTTATTATTTGTCCTAAATAATAAATAACCAAATATTAGATTTTTCTCTTTCCATTATGTATGTATAGAATATAGATGTACTAACTATAATGTATGAATTTGAGTTCATAATAGATTTTAATAGTTTTGTTTGGTTATTATATTTTTCGTGATTAATAAATTTTTGGATTAAGTATTTCTAGGTTCAAATTAATTTAAGTTGCCTCCTCTCTCATCTTGTAGATATACGAATCTTTAAAGTGGCATATGAATTCTAGAGTCGTCTAAGCAATGCCATTTTTTTGCCTTTTAAAATATTATTTTTATATAAAAATTTAATGACTCATTTAATAAAACGTTTACCCGTGGTTACCCGAAATTTTACCCGTTACCCGTTGGGGCGGTTATGGTTTGAGTAAAAATTACCCGGGTAATTGGGCGGTTATGGGGCGAAGAAATTATCCAACGAGGCGGGTACGGTTATATGTAAAACCGTCCCCGAACCGCCCCGTTGCCATCTTAAAGTATTATTCGATTTGCTAATTCTATTCACAGCCACAAAATTACTAATTGCAGTAATTTTATTAAATTTTAATAAAATAATAGTTTCAAATATCTATTTTACCCTCATGCAAATCCATAAATAATACATTTTAACGTTTCAATAAGGGAAAGTATTGTCATGAACTCAACAATAATTATATTAACATTACTTTCCAAATTAAAGGAATATATAGTTCTATACAAGGTTAGCTCTCTCAATATTTCATATACAAAATAGATATAATTATCCCCCATATAACTAAAATTCTCTCACTTACCCAATCTAGGACCTAACTAGTTTTTTTCCCAAAATAATATTACATTTCATTATAATTAATTAAAATTCGTAATTAATAATTAATAAATATTTTTTATGGACAAAAACACGCTTTAGCTTATCCCTATAAAACCCTAACCTCCTATTCATATTCTACAACCCTAGATACAACCTCCAACGCTCACTCGCGCAGCCGCCCCTCCGCCCAACTGCCGCTCGCTGCCTAGTCTCCACCCACAGTCCAGCGCCGCCACCCACCGTCCAACGCTGCCGCCTTGCACAGAACTGCGATATGGGTGTAAATCGTCGATAGCTAGTGCAATCGTCCACTCGACCTGGGCTCCAAGGCGCTGCGCAACGTCCATGTATTGTCCGCCATCTAGCCGGCGGCCGCACAACCATCGCTCGCCGCCGCTCACCAACCGCAGACCCGCCGCATGGTTGCCTCCTTCCCCTTCTCCTTTTTTCTTTTTGTATTTCTTGAAATTGGGGTTGGGAATTAATGTTCTCAAAGAATGGCGTTGGACTGCCGCTCCAACAACTCAGATTCTTCAACCAAGGTGGTCGAGGTTGAAGGCAAACCCAAGGTTGAAGACGAACCGTAGGTTGAAGACGATTGAAGATCATGTGCAATGAATAATTTGTATTGAATTCCGTGAATATCACAAGAAGTGCAATGATTGGTACAAGAAGTGCAATGATATGACCATGCATAATGTGGTTATGACAAGAAATGCAATAATTAGCGCATTAACATTGAAATAAAGTGCGATTATTAAATTTAAAATGAAAAAGTATATGAAATCCTAACAATTTTTTAATGTTGTGCAATAACTCTCGCATGAAGTGCATTATATTTAATTAAACGTAAAAACTAAAGTTATCAAAACTACAAAAACCCATAAACTGATGTGTCATAACTTAATTGCATGAAATGCATTAAATCTCGTGCCGTGAACACAACATAAAGTGTAATACATGTTGTGCAATGAGTCTTTCATAAAGTGCATTATTTTACCCGGACGTAAGTAGTGTAAAATGCATTTTTTTTTAAGAAAAAGGGTATTTCCGTCCTTCCAAAATTTAATATAACGAAAATTTCTTTTATATATATATATTTTCACTCATACTTTGGGAAAAAAACATAACTACTCATATTTTGAAAAACTCACTTTGTTTTAGTCATATCCCGGGAATTTTTCCTACAAAATATCATGTTTCTACTACTCAATTACAAGGTAACTCCTATTATTTAGGGAGCTACCAAAACAAAATTTCATGTTTTTTAAAATGGTACTCCGTATAACTTTTTTTTATTTGTACTTCGATTGTTACAAAAAAATATGTCAAATATCATACTCGCGACTTTTTTTATCTTTCATATGACACCAATATTGAACATATAAAAATCAAAAAGTATTTGGAATAAATAATATAAATACCCCAAACTTTGAAGGAGCTTGGGGTAAACACCTCAAACTTGTATATGTAATTTAAATACCTCAAACTATATATAAATAGTTATTTTTGCACCATTGTCATGTATTATATCTTGCAAAAATATAAATTTATGGGGTTAATTGCATAGTTTAAAATAGCAAATTAAAAATGTTGCAATTAGATAGATTGGGGGTAACATTATTTATTTCACAGTGGAAGTTTAGAATGTTAATTGTGCCTTCATGAATTTTAAAATATTTAAAGTATGTAATTAATACCATAAATTTACATTTTATGAAAGAAATAATACTTGACTGTGATGCTAAAATAACTTTTTATATAAAGTTTGGGGTATTTAAATTAGGGAAAACTGTCAAATAGGTCATCGAACTTTCATAAAAAGGTCAATTAAGTCCTTCTATAGGAGGTTCTGTCCGGCCGTCGCGATTTGGGGTACTTCCCGGTGGATTTTTTTGATGAAATTTTTTTAGTATCATATTCACCAAGTCTAGTTTACGCATACCAAAGTTCAGCTAAAAATTCAATCGGGAACACATTCAAATTAATTCTTGAAGATAATTGCGCATTTTTACGTTCTCAAATTAATTTGAATGCGCTCCCGATTAAATTTTAGCTGAAATTTGGTATGAGTAAACTAGACTTGATGAATAAGATGCTCTAAAAATTTCATCAAAAAATTCCACCGAGAACCGCCCCAAATCGCGACGACCGGACAGAGTCTCCTATAGAAGGACTTAATTGACTTTTTTATGAAAGTTCGAGGACCTATTTGACACTTTTCCCTTTAAATTACATATGCAAGATTGAGGTGCTCCTCTCACACCTCTTCAAAGTTTGGGATAATTTAATTATTTCCCCCCTTCTCATACACAGATTCTCCAAATCCAATCCAAAGTTACGTTACACCAATCTCATTATTTCTAATGTATTGTTCTCCCAACTTTTCTAACTCATCTCCCCATGACATCTTCGTACAATCTTTTTCATGTATTAAAGCGCGTAAAAGAGAGTTATCTGTTATTGTTAAAATCATTACTCTTTGATTTTTCACTGCTAAATTACTTTATAATCATGTTTTCATAAAAGAATCAAAATCATATGATTCACTGAGACATTACATACTCATATCACTAACTGTTGTATATAACAAATCTCCGTTTAATACTATTTAGTGTCTCTTTTTATCCATTAAACTTCAGATATACCTTTTTTGGTAAGTTAAATATTTAAATATGTTACAATAAAAGCTAAACTATTTTATCAAATAGATATAGTTAGTTCATCTAAAGTAGTTCAATTTAGTTTATTTATCTTCTTATTCCCTGCAAATCTAATAAATACTTTTAATTATGAGCTCGCTTAGAATTAATAAGTACTTTGTAGTATTTAATGTACACCATGTTAATAACTATTTGATGGTACTATGGGCAGGGCCGGTCCTGAGATTTTGGAGGCCCTGTGCAACAAAAAAAATTGGGCCTTTTTTCCATGTTCCAGACACAAGTGATTTGATTAAAATACAAGTTATTAATGAACATAAAAATAAAAACGAAAGTAGTCATTAATAAAATACCTTTCATTTGAAAAGAGACATTCTTCTTGCATATTTAGAGGCAAAGTCATCTACCAAACTTGCAATGTCAATCTCTTGGAGTGTTTCATGTTCTATTGATATCATCGCCAATCCATTGAGCCTTTCTTGTGACATAGTTGACCGCAAGTAGTTCTTCAACAACTTCAGCTTTGAAAAACTTCGTTCTGCCGAGGCGACAGTAATAGGAATGGTTAGCAATACTCTATATGCAATAAAGGCATTAGGGAAACAGTTCATTTCTTTTAAGGAATTCAATATTCTTGTTGCCATCATCTTTTCTTTCGGCAAAATCTCTCTAAGCAACTTCAGCTCAATATACAAATCGTTTCCATCAATATCACGGCATTGCTCATCCCTTTGAAGAACTGTTTGTAAATGTGTGCAGCAAGATTTCAAATCTACGTCACTCAAAGATTGTAGCTTCTCAAAACTGAACAAGAACCCAAACATATTTTCATACTCTTTGTATTGCTCAAATCTTCGAGTCAATGAGCCAATAGATTGATCAACTATGTAGACAAAGTATTCCACCCTGAACAACTCTTCAGGCGTTGTCGTGGATGATGAAGAACATTCACCAATAGACTCATCAAATTGTTTTTTTCTACGGATTACACGTTTCTGAGGAAACACTGGTTCAACTTCCAATTCAGTGGCTATTTCTTTAGCCGCATGCATAGCACTAGAAAACCCACACTCTCTATACTTCTCAAAAAAAGAAATCAGCCCTTTCACTTCAACAATAGCAATATCAAGAAGCATATCTTTTGCTTGTAGTTTTTGCTAACCAAATTAACAGTATATAATATTTCATACCAAATAATTGTAGCAAGCAAAAACTCAAAATTACAAAGATCATTTGTAGCTAATGATTTAGCTTCACTTTGTACTTTAGAATCATTGTCAGTCTCCGCCAACTCAAGCAAAGCTTCTCGAATGTCATTTATTTGAAACCTTATTGCTTTTACACTTTCCACACGACTTTCCCACCGAGTATTTGATA